ATTTATAAACAACTGCACAAAAATCGGAAATAATTTAAAAATTTCCGATAAAAGAAAGTTGGCGATTTTAAAACCTTTGACTATTTGATCCATCTCGTCCAGTGTCTAGAAGAGAACTGAGCAAATTTTAATGTTTTGAGAATTATCATAGACATAAATTTTTTTTGAATATGTTATCATTTTAAAATGATATTCTAGCAGAGTTGTCAGGTTGGTACTTTTGTAAAGGTGCCTCACCGGAGTATAGTAGCTTCTGCTTTTGCTTAGGCACTGCTTATCGTAGGTATATTCTTACCTAAGCTAAACCTTTATCAGATACATGAAGCTGACTTTTTTCAGAGAAATTACGAATTATGAACGATTTCTCCTGCGTTGTGCCTATCATCCTTAAAGGCTTCAAAAATATATTTGAGTCATTATCTTGAAGATTTTGGCCGCTCTTAAATACCATAACTAGTCGGGAACTGTGCGAATGACCCATGATAATTAAAAGTATCGAAATGACTTTGATGCCATGTGGAATCATTTGAGTGACTTTAATAGAACAGGTCTTTAATGATATTTGAAGTTTCGAGTTTCTTGATTTCTAAAATAAGGATATTATTGCTAATAACAAAATTGTTGCATTAATGCTAAAGTCACAATTTAAGTCGAACTTACCCGATTCTTTTGTTGTTCTACCAATTAATATAAACAGACAAACTCTACTCAAATTGCCTTTATTTGTATTGAATCTTGTTGAAAGACATGATTACTCATTGTTCATAAATGCACGCTTGGGTCACATGATATCCCACTTTCGTCTAGATTATTTTGAAGTTTCCCACTGTGAAAAATTTTATTTTGATTCACAGCTATAGAGATCTTAATTAGCTAACCTTTTTCACAATTTTCATAATTTTCCATCCACTGGCTTTTCCGGAAAATTGATTAGAACCAAATTAAAAAAACTCCTAATTTTCACATTTTCTTGATTTTCCGGAAAACTTTGAAGACTTTTGAAAATTAAAGATGCAGCTTTTACGTACATAATTATGACTTTAATTTTTTTATCAAAAAATTTGGAGAATGGAAAATTAATTTTCTCAAAACCGGAGCTTTTTAAGATGTCTAGATTTTAGATCTTAGATCCGAATTTTGCCCAAGCCGAACGAACAAACGAACGCACAAAGTGAAATACTAAGCTCCACTCTAATAATTAACTAGGCTATTCGAAGTCACCCGTGGCGCTTGTTCAGGTTTTACTTCACAAATGAATTCACATGGCTTCTATTCTAGAGTCAGTGAGTCAGTGAATGGGGATTTTATAACAATTAATAATAATAATCCTGTTAATATTTGTTATAAAGCTTGGCTCAAGATGCTTTTGAGCATGTCATTTATGCAACCAGCAATACTTAAGTTCTATCTAGCTAATCTAGCTTATTAAAGCCACAGACTTTATTTATTCCTGTTTTAACTCTAAAAGTAAAATATGTAAGCACTTACGCAGTAGTCCGAATGTTCCTTTTATTTATACCATAGCTATCACTGATAAAGCCTCAAAAAATAATTTCATCTTGCTAATTGCTCAAAAAATTGATTAAAATTATTTTAATCTAGGAATTAATTTTAGGAACTAAAAGAAGATTCATAACAGAAATTGATGGGACAATCCTTTTGAAGATCAAATTCACTTTTCATTGAGATTAATGATCTGATGTGATGTCAAGCTTTGATATAAAATATTTGAGAATTCAAGTTTTTGGATACTCGGTCAAGGTTAACCATAAGAAAGACGACTAAAAGAAGCCCAAGATTTGCATAGAAAAAAGAATTCACGGTCAAGTCTGTAACAATGATCATGAAAATGTAGCGGTAAAATGATGCAAATTAGGAACAGAAAAAACATTAAATAATGCAAATTATATTCAAATATTTTTTAAAGCTATTCAAGATGCTTATCAGTCATGTGCTTGCTAAATTTTGAATGAGCTTACTTTTATTCAATTTTATTTAACCGACATCATTTTATGACATCCCAAAAGTGACACTAAACTGGGAACAATTCATCATACGAAGCATTTTCAACAATTTGATTGGCAGTAGTCGTCAATGTCTTAGACAATCCAGCCTCAATTTGTGGATAAATATTCCTAAGCACAAAGTCTTGATTATTTTCCAACAATCCATGCACAATTTGTCCAAAAACTTTATTTCCACCAAGAAGATTTGTGATTTTCAGTTGACTGACTATTCCTCTATTAAACTTTACATCAAATGGATCAAACTTGATGAATTCAATTCCATTTTTCAGATATCGATGACCTTTCATTGACAGTTTGAGTTTTGCTGCAGAAAATTGTGTAAAGTAGTCTCCGTCACTTTTAATGCTCGATCCAAGAAAGTCGAAAATCATTTTGTATTTTCCATGAATGTCAAGTTTAGGAAGTCCAACGAGAACATCGAATTTGATGTCTTTTGTGTTTACACTGTGAAAGGTGAAGAAAAAGATTTCAATGATTGGTTACGAATGGTTTGGAAAGAAACATAGATATAACACCATGCAGAGATTGAGTAGCTCCGCTTTGGTGGCTGTTTCTCAACGGAATCACAGTGTCTTTTTGTTTTCGATACTAGTACTTAGTTCCAGTAATATAATAATATGATATCACAACTAAATCTAGTCCAAAACGTAACAAAAGTAGCTTTAAAAGCAGGCAGAGGGGGCAAGACTCTATTTTGAGGTCATTTCTAGGGAATTTCGGTTTACACAGTGGTCAACCAGGTCTGTATTCAGCATATTCTTTAGAAAACTCACCGTAATTTCTCAACTCTTAACTTTGAAGCTCCTTTAATATTCACGTCTTTAAGGGACACTTTCAGCCCCCTTTCTTCTCCGAATGACACCCTGAAAAGTCAAATCAACTAAATTTAAGCTTTGCAAATATCAAAAATACCAACAAACTCACTCTTTGATGTAAAATGGTTCTAAAGATGGAACTTGAAAGCCTCCACCTAAATTACCAGAAGCTAATCTTGGAATTAAAGATTCAACAGTCCGAACAATACATTCACTGATTCGAGGATCACTGCGATGACAAACACGAACATTTGGCGCTGAAATTGATATTTTTTTTTAGATTTTATGAAGAACAATTGAATTATGTTCCTTAAAAATCAAAGAAAGAATTTTATGGCCACTCAGAACAATCCTAGAATTTCATTCTGGGTCATTGATAAAATTCGGTTTTATTAAAAGTTTCATATAGGAACATGGTTACGAAATCCATTAAACAAACTCAAATCATTGACAAATTCTAAAGCAAGACATGTTTAAAATGAATACTAAGCAACTAGTCCGATGGGATTTTTTTTAAGATTCACAACAATTCTTTTTTAAAACCCGAAATAGCATTCCAAAAATAGAAATAGAAATCTGAGAAAAATAGTAGAATTCCAAATAATTTTTAAACAATTTTAACATCTCAATTGCTTCTTCTTTCTTAACCTTCCTCAAAGAAATTAAATTGCGACGCAAATAAATTTTTGAAGATGTCCAACAAAAGACATCTAAAAGAAGTCTGCAAAGTCATTAAATAAATCTTTTGATACAATAAAGCTGTGAATTGGTGTAATAAACTTGTTTGGGTTAATTAGGAACAAAAAATAAAATTAAAGTACTTTTGTCGATTAAGAAAATCATAAATTATTGATTTGAATTTTTAAGGCAATTAAACTGCTCATCAAATGACAAAAGATCACGCGGGCGTCCCAAGAACTCTTGGAAAGGAGCTATTGAGAGAGACAGGATTGCATTTGGTATTGGTAATTGGTAAACGAGAGCCAGCGATAGAGCCAGCTTCAAGCGCCATACACCAATATCAAATATACACCAGAGCGATTAAACACTTCAGAAATTAATTTTACGCAATTTTACAAACTTTTGTCGCCGCTTTAACTTGACTCAATAATGTAGACCTAACCTTAATGCTGGCAGAGCATCGATCTTATTGTGGACATCACTAAAATAATTAAACATGACTTACGTAAGACTCCAGATACTGCTTGGATTGTGATTACTGCTAACAAAGTTAAAAGAGGAAAATTGTCTGTTTTCATGTTGAATAAATTTTTGAGGATATTAAGTTGATTTTTTAAATATTTTAACTCTGAGCCTTTAAAGTCCTCTCAAACTTTGCGAAATTAATTTGAATTTTTGAAGATTATTTGCTTTCTTTACCCTTTGACTATTTCGTTCTTTAAGAACTTTTAAACTAAACGAATTATTGAATCTGATGAGATTTTTATAAGAATATTTTCAGTAAAGTGTGAAAATCCTAGCAAGAAGGGATTTCCCTTTGTGTCTATTTTTTATAAACCGATAATAAAAATTGTTTGGATATTTGGTGACATCAAAAAAGTCAAAACAGCGAGAGGTGTTGATTTGTATAGAAACATTCCAATACTTAAACATCTTTTCAGTATTTTGAGATATCACAGCTAAATAAAAGGAATTTTGGAAGCTTCGATTTCCATCATTGATCACTTTTCAGTGTTTAAATCATGAAATTCCAGTTGATGTGCCAACATCGTTGGCCCTTAATAATGACTTTTATGGAAATTTTTGAATTAAATATCAATAAATTATAGTTTTGGGATTTTTCTTATCTTATTTTTCTTTCTTATCTTAAGTTCAAAATTGATACAAAAATTCGATCTTCAAAGGGTCATTCACTTATGACGTCTGTTAAAAACATGGTTTTTAGACCCCTTCTGTAACAAAACTGTCACAGATGCCAAGTAGCCCCTTGTCAAGTCTAATCAAAGGTTACCAAAACTTATGATTTCCTGTTTGCGAAATTGAATGTCACAAATATCCTGACTCCTCTTGAACGTCATAAATGAACGACCACAAATATACATTTTCAAAATAGTTGTTTTATTTTGATTTTATTTTTTTAATCCATTTTTGAAATTTCGAATTTTAAACAGTTTTTTAATAATTTTCAAAATTTTAATTGCTTTTCAATTTCTCAAATTTAATCTTATGAAATCCTAAATTATTGCAGTCTAAAACCTATTTTTTAACTTTTAAAAATAAGTTTGCAAAAAAATAAAAACCTTAAATAGGAAACAGCTCATCAAAACTAGCCGACGTCGCTAGCTCATTTGCCATTCTTGTAAAAGTTTGCGAAAATGTTTTCTCAAAATCTGGATAAATTGCACGTGTGATGTATTCCTTATTATCCGAGAAATATGAGTAAACTACAGGTCCAATAAATAATGTATTTGGAAATAAATTTGTCAACCTTAAATTTTTCACATCACTTTGGAGAATTTTGAAGTAAAATGGATCAAATCTCATGTATTTTTCACCATTTTTTGTATACAGCTTTGCCTTCATTCTGAGTCCAATTCTGGTGTTTTCTAGCTTTTCAAACATTTGTCCATTGCTGTAAAGTGGAGATCCGAACAGTCCAAAGACCATTTGATAGTTTGCTGATAAATTTAGACGTGGAAATGACAAAATCATGCTGAATTTCAGTTTTTCGATATCAGCTCTGTGGAGAAATCAAAAATTTGAAATTTTATTTTAATCGTTTGATTTTAAATTTAATTTGCTTAAATTTTTTAATAATTTAATAATTTTCAATTTGAATAATTTACTGGTTTTAAAGATTTAAAAACTTAAAAAAATTTGAAATTTGAAAAAAGTTTAAAATTTGAAAAAAAAAAGTTTAAAATTATTAAATATTGATCTATTTAAAGCATTCAGCCTCGTTTGGACTTACTTAAGTTTAACGATACTAAAGTTGCTCATTCCTCTTAACTGAAGCTTAGTTAAAGTCGTCTTGAAGTCTCTTTCGCTTCCAAATGTTAATCTAGAATATTGTCAATCCACAATTTTAAGGCAAGTGGAATATAAGTAACAATTTTGGAGATTAAAAATCATAATTCACAAAATTTTGATCAATTCTAATAAGCTTGTATGCTTCAATAAATGCATTTATTAGATTTTTGATTTTTTACTGCTTAGGTTTATTAAATTAACTTTAATCAAGGCGTGGAAACTCAGGGTTAATCCTTAAAAATCCCAGAAATCCTTTAAATGAGCCAATAAATATAAAAATGTGAAATCCTTTTTAAATCAAATTCAAATGCATCAAGGATTTTAATATTCAGGTTGGTGTCAAAATAAGACTCAAAGAAATGTAACTGAAACTACAATAATTCCAAATTTGAAATAAAGAAAGATTTGATCAAGGATTTTAAAGGGATTTAACATTTTCATGTTTATTGGCTCAGGTAGTTTTGGGATTTTTCAGAATTAATCCTGAATTTCCACGCCTTGACTTAAATCAAAGCAGAACTCGGAGTCGACTCCGTCATACAAAATCAATGAAAATATTGAGTCGAATTCGAGCTCTGGATTAAAGACCTCCTTAAAACATACTTAGGAATATCAAACGGATCTGTTGTTGGAATTAAGTATCCATCTCCGAGGTCGCCAGTTATTAATCTTGGTTGAAGAACTGTTACAGACTGGACGATGCAGTCGCTTATTTCTGGATCATTGCGAAAACATACCGGAAATATTGATGCTGGAAGTAATTTTTGAATTGGATTTTTTATTTCATTTTTCAGACTACCGACGACTCATTTCGAAAAAAAAATTCGACCGTTATTTCAAAAAATTTAATTTTCTAGCAGAAAGATAAGTTTTGAATTGGAATGTAACGGTCGTTTTATGAGTTGTAGTCTGGAATTTTTTAAAGAATTTTTGTTTTTAACAAATTTGTTACGAAATTGAATTTTTATTTTATATTTTTATGATTTGACAAATTCCTAATTCAATTTTTTGTTAAAATTTGTTGAAATTTTGAAAAAAAATTTATTTTAAGGTTTTGTTTTTATTTTTTTAATTTTTAAACTTTTAATTTTTTTTTATTTTTGTAATTTCATCAAGATCCGTTGGCATATATTTTTCAACTTCAACTTCAACTTCTCAATTTCAATTTCTTAAAATTATTTTTTCAAACATTTCTTAAACCTACGTAAAGGTGCTTTCACTAGCTGAACACAAATAATCAAAATTAATGACAACCTTAAGTTAAATAATGTCATAATTTTCAAAATAAAATAATCAAATTTAAGTATTTAAGCAATTAAAACAAGATGTGAACTAATCAAGTGTTTTGCTAAGACTAAAAAAATTCTGGTAAACAAAAATTTACTGCGCAAATGATACAAAAGAATTGAAACAATAGAATTTTTGTCTGAGATTAGTTGTTGAAGCTGGAATGGCTCGATATTCATAGTCACGTTGATGATTGTTTGGCCTTTATTGATCATATCGAAAATATTAAGAAATTTATTATTTTAAGCTGTTCACATGAAGTCACGTGTGAGTTATTAAAGGATGTTATTATTGTTTTTAATTGTAGCACCTTATATTATTGGATTAGGCATATATTCTATAGACAGCAAAATCAACACTCACAAACAAAGTCACAGAGACAGTGAGAAAGACAAACAGACTCAGAGTCTGACTTTGACCCCAAAATTCCGACTATAAAATATATAAATGATCCAAAAAGGACTCAAAAATAACTCAACATCCTCAAAGTGGAAACAATTCATCAAAACTAGCACCAATTGCCAATTCATTAGCAATCTTAGTAAAAGTCTCTGACAAGCTTCTTTCGAAATCTGGATAAATAGTTTGAGTCACATATCCAATGTTATTGACCAGATAATTATGGACTATTGGTTTTATGAAAATTGTATTTGGAAATAAGTTTGTAAAATTAATAAAAGTGACTGTATTTTGGAGGATTTTAAAGTAAAATGGATCGAAATTCAGGTGTTGAGCTTTATTAATTAATTGAATTTTTGCTTTAAATGCAACTCGAACTTTGACATTTGTAAGTGTCTCATAAATTTGGCCTTCACTGAACAACGGTGATCCAAAAAGTGCGAAAATCATTTGATAATTTGCACTCAGATCTAATCGAGGAAATGACAGGTACATGTCAAATCTCAGTTGATTAATGTCGACTCTAAAATATTAAACAAGTTTTTAAGGTATTTACTAAATTTGTAAAAAGAATTTTAACCTACTGTAATTTATCAATGTTGAAGTTGCTCAAACCTTTTAAATAAACATGCGTTAGTTTTGTTTTGATCACGTTTTCAACGCCATATGTGATTCTGAAAGATTAGCAAAATTAAGCATATATTCTGGCATGTAAGTATTAAGTATTGTAGGACCTACTGTGGTATATAAAAAGGATCTAGTCTTGGTATTTTGAATCCATCTCCAAGATCACCAGTTATTAGTTTTGGCTGAAGAGCTTTGACAGCTTGAACAATACAGTCACTAAGTTGGGGATCGTTTCGAAAACAAACCGGAAAAATTGTCGCTAAAATTATGTTTTTTTATTAATGAAATTAGAATTAATTTTTTTTTTATTTTCATTTTTTGAAATTAATCGTTAATGAGCGTTGCAGGAGAATTCTGGATGGTCATTGGATGGTTTTTAAAGGGAACTCAATAATTTGTTTAATTTATCCTTCAATATTTAAACGTTCATTCTTGATTACAAAGGAGGACGCCTTGAAAACCGAACCTTAGAGGGCAGCTTCTTATTAGAAAAATATCTAGATTCGCCCTTACAATCGCTACTTAAGTCAAAAAATGGTTTATTTTAAAAACTTACGTAGTCTCGTTTGAGTAAATTGAAATAAATTAATTATAATAATCAACACAACAGTTTTATAATTTAACATTATTTTATTTCTTTAAACTATTCAATTAAGTCGCCAAAAAACTCTAACAGAATGAAACAAATCTTTACTTAAATAGCTTCAACGTAAAACTGAAAATTCTTGAGAATGAAAAATCTTACATCAATAAAAATGAACAAACCAGAAATGAAGAAGTTTACATTTTTTTTTGAATATAAATTATCAATAATAGAATATTTGTTTACATTTTACAAATCCGAAGAATCAATTAAAGGCACAGACACTCAAAAAAATCTCAAAATATGTTAAAGTTTTACCAATTTCTTTTTTTTTTGAAATTCTTCAAATTTAACAAATTATAATTTTTTTAATAAGCTTCTAATTTTTTTAACATTATTAAGGGACAGATGTAGGGTGACCATCTGCGTAGTTTTACAACGGACAGTCCTGCATTTCAAAACCCTGTCCTGTATAAATTTGAAAATTTTGTTCCAGGTCCTGTATTTTTTTCACGAAAATTTCAGTTAATTTTCAAATTTTCCTCTGTGTCCTGTATTTTTTAGGAAATTTATCAAATGTCCTGTATTTTCATTAAAATTAGATGGTCACCCTAGACAGATGGCAAGTAGCTTAGATTCTACTTTAAACCAAGGGTGTGGTACTAATGAAATGATCAAAAATGGTCAAAATTGATCAAAAATGATCAAAATGTAATTCTTCAGTTCCACACCCTTGCTTTAAACTGTAGGTCCAAAGGATTTTGTACAATAGATTCTGTTCTAATTTGAATTGCAGTGCCTCCAGCTTAAAAAACTGGGCCATCTTCATGCTTTACCTTCCAAGGGAGAGATGTAGAAATGAGATCTCTCCGCCCCTTACCCTTACTCTAGCTACTAGCTTTTTAATCTCTATTATGACATAATTCTTAAATTGCATACACGAATGGCACAAGTCGGTTAAAGAACCGTGACTGAGTCATGCCATCTTGAAATTGGATTTCAATTCAATTAACCGACTTGTGCATTTCGTGTATGTTTGATTCCTTTACGCTCTTAAATTAGAAGAACGTAGGGATTCTAAAGTGTACGATAAATGCTTAAGATCATTTTATGTTTTTTGACCAGCTGAATTTAATCAATATATTAAAAATGAACTGTTTATCAACGGTGCGAATATACAAGCTTATTTTTAGAATTCTCTCTTTTGTTTATGACTCCTCGTGATTTTCTGGTTTGACCAAAACATTTTTAATTCTTCTTCCATTTACACATGTTTCTAACATTTTTTGTTGACTCATTCTTTTTCATCGCATCGCGCCAAACAACTCGTGTAACAATATTTAAATGAAGAAATGACAATGGATAGACTGATCATCTTCAGAGGGTCTTCAGAGCAATGTCCTACAATATTTTCATTTCCAAAACTATTAAACATTTTTTATCTGGGAAGATGTTCTCTAAGCAGTCATTAAAGAATGAAACCCGAATAGACATGATAACATGGTGCTGGGTTCGATTTAAATCCAGCACCATGCCAGAGTTACACCGGCTTGGTGCTGGATTTCTGATCGATTAACCGACTTTAGCCTTTCGGGAAAATTAAAAGATTCTTAAATATGCTTCAGTACCCGTGTAAATTGCCTGAGATGGACTGGACATGTGTTCACACGCTCACAATAAGCTTCAGTACTAAAAGTGACAGTAGCTGACTTTATGGATGGCAAGAAATCACAAGGAAGACTGAAGATCTCATGGATTGGATGTGTTGAAAAGGACACTAGAGTCCTTAATATCCCGAACTGGCAGAAGGTTTCTAAGGATAAATCTATCTTCAGACGATCTCTAAGCGCAGCAATGAGTTCACGTGCGCCCCAGCCTAGGAAATAATAGTAATAAATTTGCTTATATAATTTTGTGAGATGTTTTTGTATTTTTTGAAGTAATTTTATGTTTGGATATGCTAAATATGATTTGTGAGAATTCAGTAAAATTCAAGTTTACAAAAATGTCATAAAAATGATGTCTAATATGGAAATATTTCATCAAAAGGTGCATTAGAGACAATTTGATTAGCAGCACCTGTAAAAATTTTACTTAAATTCTTTTCAAAGTCCGGATAAAGTGTTTTGAATAAAAAATCAGCATTAAGTTGAAAGTATGCTTTGAAAATTGGTGCAATAATAAAACCTGGTAAAAAGTTTGTAAGCTCTAAAAGTTTAACAGAACTTTCTAAAATCTTGAAATAAATTGGATCAAATTTCAAATAATTTTGTCCATTTTTTTGGTAAAGTCTTCCTTTCATTATGATTCTTATTTTTACGTTTTCCATAACTTCATGTCTTACTCCCTCACTATCCAACGGGCATGGCAGAAGCCTAATTTCCATTTTGTAATTCGAAACTATGTCCATTTGTGGGATTGTGATTATCATGTCGAATTTGAGGTCTCTCATGTTGACGCTACAAAGGAACAATGTTTAATGTGATTCGAACAAAGTGATTGGAACTTACTGAAGCTTTTCGATGCTGCATTTGCTAAATCCCCTCAAATTCATGTCCTCCATTGTAGTGTGCAGTACATTCTCGATTCCTAATTTGAGCCTTTAAATAAAAACTAAATTAATTAAATGTTTACAATTTTTGGGCCTGTTTCTTGGGGTCCTAAGGGAATTGTCGTTTAATGATTAAAACAGTGTTGTTCAACACATCCTTAAGTGTTCAATTGCAAAAATTGGTAATTTTTCAGAAATTTGTAGATTTTACACGATTTTACATTAGATAGAATGGACTGAAGTACCTAGTAATCATGTCAAGTGTTTCTTTCAGGATTCTACATGTCTTGATCAAAACTACACATTTAGTCTGGCAGCTCGAACATTGTTTAACCTTTAAAATTCATTCTCATAAATTACAAGCTTGTCTCATTTTCAAACCAACAAACCAATACGTGTTACTCACTTTGGAATATATAGAGGATCTAGACGTGGAACCTTAAATCCATCTCCTAAATCTCCAGTAGTCATCCTCAATTGAAACATTTTCACTGATTGTATTAAACAATCACTTATGTGTGGGTCGTCACGAAAACAAACTGGGAAAATTGTTGCTGTAAAAGTTTATGAATGAAATATTATTTTACACAAAAGACACTAAGATTCAATTAATAATTAGACCAACGGATGAACAATCACAAATTTTATGACGCCGCCAATAAAAAAAGTCTCAAGTCAACCGTTGACAAAGTCTAGTGTAGACTTAAGCTCGAAGTTGACTCGAGATTTTTATCGATTTTGTTTGACGAAGTTGACTAGACTCCATGCAAAATTTCCAACTTTGGTGTCGACACGTGACTTCAATATTCAAAAACTTACGCAAAGGTGCTATTGTAAAATTTTTAATTAATAATAAATAAACAAAAGCTGACTTTAAAGACACGATCATTTAACTTTTACTTTGAATTTATTTTATTGAATAATGTTTGAGATCCTTTCACAAAGAATGTTTCTATCAGACTAATGACTCTTGAAATAATTTAAACTTTTCCTGTTGAATTGGGGCAATTCAAGTGGCCTTTAGAACTGGATAGATGATTTAAAAGAAGTTGAGTCATTCTAAGCAAGAGAGCATTGACAGAAATTTTAAAAAATGTTTTTTTTTATATAAATTGACCAGAGGCATAGTCCGAAATCCTCAAATTCACATAGATCTTTACCAAAACACCAGCGGTGAAATGGCATCAGTGGTCTAAGCGGTAGAGCGTTGTTCTTACCTGTCAAAAGTTTTGGCTGCAATCCCAGGCCAAGTCAAGTTTTAGAAGCTCATTTTTCATTTCACCATTCTAGTTACGAATCTCGGTTCGTGTGTTGAATATAGTTTTGAAGTCTTTGGCACAGAATTGTAACGGCGAGAAAATATTATTATATATAAACGCTCATTCTTAAGCAAAGGAACAGTCTTACATTTAACTCCAAGCAATAAACAACACAAGGAAAAAGAACCCATAGCATTATTACTATTCTTATTATCGCTCAATTCCAGCACTACAGAATGTGCCTCTTTTGCAGGTAAACTAGGATTTACTAGCATCTTGATGACTTCTTTACGGCATCTTGCGCATAAAATTGTGACTAGGTACATTGCAGGGTACATCAGGTCTATTGACATCCTCGTGTCTTTGCAATGTGCAGAGCTTGCAAGTGGTTCGGACCCCACTATAAACTGTAGGTCAAAGGGTGTGTTACAAAAGATTCTGTTCTAATTTGAATTGCAGTGCCTCCAGCTGAAAGGCTGGGCCCTCTCCATGCTTTATCTTTTTACCACAACACACTGCACATCTGTATTCAAATAGAAAATCTTAAGCAATTAATCTCTGAAATCGTGATATAATTCATAAAAATCAGGTTTTAAATCTAAGGCATCGAATTTTTTTTCATGATTATTAAGAATAGATTTATTGAAATTTCAATTGCAGCAATTACAGTATTGCAGATATCACAAATCGATCGTAAGTTAAAATTGTGCTGTCGTAAATATACAGGATCGAGTTTAAAATCCATGTTATTGTATTCATTGGCATATTTTTTTAGCTTTGTCAAATCTCTGCATAATTAAGATTTTTTGTTGAAATTTACTTTCTATATTTTTGGAAATTCCCATTCTAGTTTTTAAAAATTTAAAATTATTCAAAAAATGTGAAAAAGTCAATACTAAATCTAGAAAGTTATTTTTAAATTTTTAATAGATTAAAGCATGTTTCTGGTTCACTTTATCACTTATACCAACCCACTGTGCCTACATAGCAGCATTTGGGAAAGTATCTCGTAAAGATAATTAATCTTAATTCCAAGTTAATTCAAAATGAAAGTTTGCATTACTTTTAAAATAATGTTTAAATTGGAAAAATTTCATTAAAAGGTGAATCAATAACAATTTGATTAGCAGCATCTGTGAAAATTTTACTAAATTCCATTTCAAGGTACGGAGAAAGGATTTTGAAAATAAATTCAGAATTAGCTTTGAAAAAATTATTAGAAAAATATGGAAAAATGTTTAAAGGTTCTAAAATCTTAAAATTAATTGGATCAAATTTTAAATAATTTTGTCCATTTCTTTGGTAAATTTTTCCTTTCATGATGATTCTTATTTTTACATTTTCGATACGCTCGTGTAACACTCTCTCATTTTTCATCGAGGCACCAAGAAATCCAATCATAATTTTATGACTGCAAATTACTTCCATTTGTGGTATTTTAATAATCATATCGAATTTGATGTCTTTCATGTCAACTCAAGAATTAAAAGTAATTTAAGGTGATTTAAACAAAATATATTGGAGATTTATTGGACTCACTGTAACTTTTCAACATTGAATTTACTAAATCCACTCACGTACACGTCCTTCAATATGTTTAGAACAAAATTTTCGACTCCAATTGAGACTCTTTAAATAACAATTAAGATACAATGTGCATGAATTTTCATAATGCATTGTAGACGTGAATATATCAGAGCTTTTGGAATAAACCTTTTTAGTTTATAATCCACAAACCAAAATATGTGTAGCCAAGTATGTTCAGCCTTCAATGTCCGTTCCCACAAATTACAAGTTTGTCTAATTTTTACACTTACAAACCGAAACTTACTCACTTTGGAATATAAAGAGGATCTAGTCGTGGAATTTTAAATCTATCTCCTAAATCTCCAGTAGTCATCCTCGATTGAAACGCCTTTACTGATTGCACCAAACAATCACTTATGTGTGGGTCGTCACGAAAACAAACTGGGAAAATTGTTGCTGTAAAAATTTATGAATGAAATATTATTTTGCATAAACACATTGAAAGCAACAGAGTCAGATGGAAAGCCTTTTTTTTTTGTAACCTAAGCTCCACATAGGAACATGCGGCCTGTTTCACTAAAGTGGATTATCCTCGATTTCGGATTATCCATTTCAGTTTTTTGGAAATATTTCTAGACGCTTAAGGTTATTAAGAGATCTAATATGTGATATAATTAGAGTACTTTGCTACTTAAATTAACATATACTTGGAATTTTAATATCTTCTTTGGTTTGAGAATTATAGCAAAAATCTAAGTTAATCTACTAGATTTGGCTAGAAAATTGAATAATTAATACTTGTTAACGAAAATCAAAAGTTTAAAGTATACAGAAATTTCAGGCATACTTCACTCTATTATAATCAAAAATTAGAAATGCCACACTTCCTATAAAGTTTAAGATATTTACAAAAATCTGAAGTGGATAATCTGAAATCGAAGATAATCCACTTTAGTGAAACAGGCCGATGGTGACAGTAAGTAAGTAAGTATTGAAAAACTAAAGAAGCTACTGAATTGAGAACCCTCGATTACAGTGGTATTTTTCATGGCAGTAAATAGGTTCCAAAATCGAGGAATCTAAGTCAATTTGATACTACGATTGTCGATTAACGACAGCCATCATTAACTACACCAGTGCTGGCTAATCTATATGAACCGTAAGTCTTGTTTTATCAAGGTCATTGCTTGCTATCAATATCATGCCATAGCACAAAAAAGGTTGTTGAACTTGACCATTGGCAATTAATGACAGTTGTCTTAGTCGATCGCAGGTTTTATTTTCAACTAGATATGGCCAATTGCTAAGAGATAAAAATATTCCAAAAACTTACGCAAAAGTGCGACTGCAAAATTTATTATTATTAAAAAATGCAATGCTAAATTAAATGACCACATTTCTTGATTATCTTGATCTTTTCACAAAGAATGTTTTTTTCAAACTAAGCATTTTCAGACTGATTTCATTTACCGGTTGAATTGAGGCAATGCTAGTGGCCTTTAGAACTGGATAGATAATTTATTAGAAGTTGAGTCATTCTTAGTAAGGGACCATAGACAGTCATTTTTAAAAAGCTATTATTTTTTAAAAATATTTCTGAAAAACCAAGTATAAATTGCCACTTAATTTACTATCTTAACATCCTACCTAGGGAGTTAAGCAGCGTTTACTCCCAGTTTACCAGGATATACACCTGCTGTCTTTAAACGTTCTCTAGGCGCGTCAATGGGCCCATGTGCGCTCTAGCAAGGACGTAAGTAAAGTTAATCTCATTAAAAAAAAAGTAAAGTCGACGAATTCAAGCTCCATTAGTAATATAAAGATTAGCTTAATTTTAAATACAATAAAGTTGACACATAAAGCCTCCACCCTCTCCCAATATTCACATTGAAGAAGCAGCACAATCATTCATTTAACATGTGTCAGATGCTAACCTTGAACTCAAAACAACTTCTTGTCTCGACAATTCTGATTTGTTATTATAGCGCATCTGCTGTGATGATTCGTTTCTTCAGTTCTTCTTTTTTAACTGTTTCCATTTTTGGGGATTTCCAGACAAGTTTTTGAGTTTGAAAAAAAAATCAAAACAATTAAAAGACTGTCGATTTGAGATCGGATTTAATGCTTATCATTTTTAAAATAAAATTTATTTAAATAATTTTTTAACTTATATAAGAAAACTTAAATTTATCTTTAACATTGGTTATTAGCAATTGCATTCAAATCAATTAAGTTTCTGTTAAATAATATGCTCTAAACTAGATGATCTATGTCCTATTTATGAGCTAGTTTCTAGACCTTCCCGTGGACCCTAATTCATGAATTGACATTGACTACAAAATTTATGAGATGCAACTTTAGATAACCATAGACAGTGGTGATCAAACTGTGTGCCACGGTACCCCAGATCTCTCTAGAAGATGCTTTATGTTTAACAAGGCACAAAAAGGTCAAAAACAACTGCCCTAGTAAGGAAAAGCTTCATCAAAAGTCGCACTAAGTGCAACCTGATTAGCAACATATGTAAAAGTCTCAGAAAGAGCTTTTTCAAAATCAGGATAAACTTTTGAGTTTAAAAATTCTGCATTATTAATAAAATAATTTTTTACAAATGGACCAAGAAAGGAAGTCGTTGGGAAAAAATTAGTAAAATCTACAAAAGTAATTGTATTTTCTACAATTTTAAAATATATTGGATCAAATTTGAAATATCGTTGACCGTTTTTGGGATACAACCTGCCTTTCAAGACAACCCTGACTTTTGTGTTTGTAAAAGTCTCAAGCATCTGGCCCTCACTAAACATTGGTGCTCCTAAGTACCCAAAAATCATTTGATAATTTGATTTCATGTTTATGCGTGGAAAAGAAAACAGCATGTCGAACTTGATGTCATTGATGTTGGCACTGTAAAAGATATGAGTAATGATTAAAGACTGAATCAGTTTGAAATTATCAAAACTTACTGAAGTTTCTCGATTTTAAAGTTGTTTAATCCTTTTAAGTATATATTCGTAAGTTTAGTTTGAAGCCTACTTGTGCTTCCATATGTTATCCTGTAAGATAATAAACATAGAGATTTGGTTATGTATTCTATGAGAAGTCAAGGGACAATTTTAAGGGTTCATAGGCACAGCCATTGAAGGTTTAAAGGCCCTCAAATACTTAAAACATGAAAATTTTCTGTAACCGCCAAAGCAAGTTAAACGTTGTTTATGGATCCTAATCTACATATCAAGTTGATTAAACTTACTTTGGAATATACAAAGGATCTAATCGTATCGTCCTAAATCCATCTCCAAGATCTCCAGTAGCCAATCGAGGCTTTAGAACATTTACAGCTCGAACAATACAATTACTAAGTTGTGGATCGTCACGAAAACAAACTGGAAATATTGATGCTAAAAAACTAGTCAAAATTAAATCAATGTTTATTAAATCTACAACATTTGTAAACTTACGTAACGGTGCCGTAACAATATGAATCAAAACTAGTAAGTATGTGTAAAAAATTGAACATTTTAACAACATTTTATGAATGAAAAATACAACAAATAGGCTGGAAAATTCCCCACAATCAACAAAAAGATCTTACCGGACAGAATTACTTTGTCACACTAAGAAATTCTCGGAAATATTTATAAAATTCTAACGACACGTAAAAGAAACTCAATTTATTCATTCAGGAATTAAGTTTACATTTTGAATGACTACACGTGTGTATTAATCCGAGTAATACAGTATGATCGTTAGATTACAGGTGTTGTTGATGAAAAGTCTGATACACGCATGAATAACCAACTGCGCACTTTTGAGTGGATAATCCTACTTTTTTGAACAAAATCCCGCCTAAAATCCTTAATGTCCCACTATTAAGCAACCATTTTTTTTGGAAAATGTTTGAAAATTTTCAGAACTTTTTCACAGCTTGATCAGTACATGTCCGACTTTTTGCCAAAAAATCTGCAAAACTCGGTGGTCAGCCTACGTATAAAGATGCTTGTGACTCATTTGACGCCGTCAATAAATAACATTTGATTCTCGGGCTGAGTATCAATAAAAAATTTGAATTTTGATTTTTTTATTTAATCCAAAAAGGATTGTTAACCAGACAATTGGGTGTGACAATGGCGTAGTACAAAGGTTTGTCACATTTTATTCGGATATTAGAATGTCTCATTGATCCAGTTTAAATCATCTCAAAATATGCTAAAATTGACCTTGAGCTCTTCCATAAGAGCAATAAATCGACATCTGGACTGCCTTCCGAAGTTGGTAAAGCAATTTATAAGTTAAGAACATTTTCAAAACACGATTTTCAAGTTTTATTTTTCATAAAAATTTGCTCTTTTATTGTTGTTGATAAACAATTTAACAATGCAAGTTCTCATAGCAGTGAAAAAAAAGCAGTTGCGTAGTGGTTAGAGTGTTTGCCAACCAACCCTTACGACCCGGGTTTGATCCTAGATAATGTCTAGTCGTGAAGAGAAAAGACGTGCAAATTGTGGCTAGGTACTTTTAATTGATATATCCTGGGTCAATGCAATTGTGCAGAGTTGCAAATACGCAATCGTCCGTTGGAGACAAAATCTGTCTATAAAAAGACAAAAAGCAACTGTTCGTTGAGGACAAAAAATAATCAAATAATTTTTGATGTCAACGCATCGATCATTATCAATGAATTATTTCAAATCTATAATTAAGTTGTAATAGCCGCTGGCGCTAGTCCTCTTAAAATTGAAAATCAATGAAATGAAAAAATAAAATACTACGTTTAAAGGTTTAGGTTTGGTAACTGTAGCTAGTCACTTGCCATTAGAAACAGTCAAAATAACTTAAACAAAAGCATTTTGAATGTTAATTATCAATTTTTGGATTTAGGTGCCTTATAAACCTGTGAAAATGGGTGTCTATTTGTGATGTATGGTATTTTTGATTTAAATTATAAAACCAGTGTTGTAATTCAAACTTTTTAGAGCACATCTATTGACTTTTCTGTGAAAATCTCCATTTTCTGTGTCAACGTTTTTTTTTTGATTTTATATTTAGTCTATCATATCCAGTTTAAAATTGCTGTTTTTAAAATTTCCTAGTTCTTTCGCAACAATCATTAAAATTGTCTACAGCATACCACGGCACAAAGTTTGTGACAACACTGTCCTAAACAATAATTTCAGAGATCGAAGCCGATTTTTTCGGCTTAACTCAATTTTTGATTTTTTTGATAGAAAAGAGCCATTTGACACCCATTTTAAGTATTTAAATTGAACTTTATATGCTTTACTATGATTCTGTGTAATATTTTGTCAGCATGTAGCTATAGTAAGCTCAGAATTTCAATTTAGCCGATTTTAAGCCGATCGGCTTAAATTTCGGCTTAAAATCGTTTAACTTGAAATTCTGAGCTCACTATAGCTACATGCTGACAAAATATTACACAAAATCATAGTAAAGCATGTAAAGTCCAATATAAATACTTGAAATGTGTGTTAAATAGCTTTTTTCTATCAAAAAAATCAAAAGTTGAGTTAAGCCGAAAAAATCGGCTTCGATCTCTGAATAATTTAAATTGAGTCTCCCAAAAGAAATAGTTTATTGATTTGTACTAACCGGTCCACTTAAAATTAAAAGATAAGATACAGACTAGTATGGAAATATTTCATCAAAGCTCCCCTGAGTCGCAACTTGATTAGCAATTCGTGTAAAAGTGTCCGAAAAGACTTTCTCAAAAAATGGATAAATATTTTTCTTTAAAAATTCAACATTATTAACAACCAAGTTTTTCACAAATGGCCCTAGAAACGTTGTTTGTGGCAAAAAGTTTGTAAAATCTATAAAGTTGATAGTATTGTCCAAAATTTTGATGTAAATTGGGTCGAATTTCACATATTGTTGGCCATTTTTGGTGTACAGATTTCCTTTTAAAATCGCTCTGATTTTGACATTTGTAAGAACTTCATACATTTTGCCTTCACTGTATAAAGGTGCTCCGAAAAGATTAACTTTCATTTTGTAGTCAGAACGCATGTCTATTCGTGGAAATTTTAGGATAACATCAAATCTGATATCCTTGATGTCAACGCTGTAAATGATAATTTTTTAAATAATTTTTTGAAAAGATTCAGATTAATAGCCTAATCCTTGACCTGAAAGGGGATAACAACATATTGGGTAAAAAATTTATCAAAAATTTCCCACCAATTTTCAATTGATTTCTCATTTTAATATTTGGTGGAAATTTAAAACAAAACTTTTTTCATCACATTGTTGTCCCCTTGAGATTCGCCTATTTCTTTAGGGCTCGTTCACTTATTACGTAACGAAAAAAAACGAGTTTTTAGACCCCCTCCCCCCCTGTAACAAAGCGTAGCAAAATCTTAGACCCCCCTCCCCCCTAGTGCGTTACGTAATAAGTGAACGAACCCTTACTTACTAAAGCTTTTCAATCTTAAACCTGCCTCCACCTCTTGCATATCCGTCCAAAATTGTAATTTTAAGCATGTTATCAGATCCATACGTTAGTCTGCAAATTAAAAAATATTTAAATTTTAAAAAAATTTTAAATTAAAAAAATCAATTTTGAATTAAATTTACTTTGGAATATAAAAAGGATCAATTTTCGGAATCCAAAATTCATTTCCAAAGTCACCGGTGATTAATCGTGGCTGAAGAAATTTTATTGCTCTAACAATACAGTCACTAAGTTCAGGATCGTCACGTAAACAAACTGGGAAGAAGAATGCTGCAAAATAATGATCACAGATTAAGTTTTTGCTATACCAAAATGTGATTTATTGGTTCCACATCCTTAGTGTGAATAACATGAACCTACGTATTGGTGCCCGTGCAAGAGGAATGAAAAGCAACAAAATTACGAAATATTTTAAATTTCTCAACATTCTGAGTGTTTTGAGAAGGAACTAAAATTTTCTGGTGTTTGAATTTTATTTGATGTTATTCGACAGAATGTTATTGTCAGACTAAATATTTTGTTTGAATGAGATGCATTCTTTCATCGGGACACGTTTAAGGAACAAGAAGTGGACGGTTGTGTTTATATATTCGCAGTTGGCTATAAGTCTTCGAGTGAATCATACAGGTGGATAGAGATGTTCCTCGATATCACCTACAATTATCTAATAACTAGAGCTATGCAGTGGACTGCCTTATTTTTAAAATTCTGTAATTGCCTCCAAGTGTAATTATTTAATTTTCAACTCTAACGCATTTATTAATGCATTTATTGGCTCTCATATTTTCTGCAATGGCTTTTTATTATGTCGAATGAATGCTGTGGACATCAACAGATTGCAAGTTATCCAAAATAAAGCGTTGAAGACAGCTTTTGGACTCGAGAGAAGATTTTCGACTGAAAGATTATTTACTGATGTTGCAATAAATGTTCTGCCTGTTATTGGAATCGCCTGTTTTAACTTATTGTTACTTACCAAGAAATATGTCGTAACGGCTTCTGAAGAGTTTGAAATCATCAATGAAGGACGTAGAATTAAACAGCTGAAATTTCCTAGGTTCCGCAAAGCTGTACTGGCGAATGATCTCAATTGCCTTGGTCCAAAAGTATATAACCAGTTGCCTCTGAAATTAAGAGAGATTAGAAGCTTTAATTTATTTAAACGAAAATTGAAAATTTTTCTTTTGGAAAATAAATTGATCTTTTTGAGGGGCTGCAAACTGGATGTAAACAACTTGTTCAAATCAGCTTAATCAACGAGATGCTTAAATTCAAATTTTATTGACACGTTATATTATATTGCCATACTTAGTTTATTACTGCTATTTTAAATATTTTCTTTTTTTGCTACTTACCAACTTTGTGCGTGTACGTACATTATTTTATCCACTATCATACTTCATTTGCAATTTGTATTGCCTTTAATTAATTAATGTTCACTAAACAACTTTATATATATCGAAACATGTATGATGTTCTTAGCTTTTATGCTTAACTACCCGAGAGGGATAATAAAACCAAATCAATCAATCAATCAATCAACGCAGCGTGTTTACTAGTATTTTTAAGAAACGGTGCGTATAGTTGCAGATCAAACGTGCGAAATGAATGTTAAAATTTCTAATTCAGCAGATTTTCTGGTTCTCAAAAAGAGTCATGTGATGTGTTTTTTGCAAATTTACGCAATCTTTTTTTCAACGTCTACCCGAATAACACAAGTTGGTTAACCAATCAGAAATCCGCACCAAGCTAGTGTGATCTTGGTATGGTTCTGGCTTCGATTTAAATCTAGCACCACGCTAGAGTCACATTGACTTAGTGCCGGATATCTGATCGATTAACTGACTTGTGTCATTCGGGCTAGTTCATCAATATTTATGAAATTTAGATAAAAATTGCAAAAAGCATCAACAAAGAAAACTTCTAAAATTGGGTATTTAAGGTTAGCACGCTTTGAATCACGACTAAAGCTTCTTGGAAGGAATGTTTGACGATCAAATGAAACAAAAGTCAAACAAGAGATCAAAGTCATTAAATTCGGAAGCTTTGACTTTGAAGACAAGCATTAACCAGTTTCTTAGTATTGAGATGATAAGGATGACTTTCTTTCAGTCACGTAGCTACATTGCTGACATTTATAAGGTTTTTATCGGTTCTTGTCATGGATTTTTAAATGTGTTTAAAAACAAATTTTATTAACGAATTTGGCCACTTGTGCTTGGTCTCTTGATATTTTGTTTACGAATGAGAATAAAACAATTTAGCAATAAGTTTCGCATTTCATGAATGATCTGGAATATGAAACATATGA